CTGCTGCTCTTGCTGCTGCTGCTGCTGCTGCTGTACCTGCTGCTGCCTGCTGCTGCTGCTGCTTGTTGTACCTGCTGCTGCTGCTGCTGTCTTGTACCTGCTGCTGCTGCTGCTGCTGCTGTTGCTGCTGCTGCTGCTGCTGCTGTTGTACCTGCTGCTGCTGCTTGCTGCTGCTGCTGCTGCTGCTGCTGCTGCTGCTGCTGCTGCTGCTGCTGCTGCTCTTGTACCTGCTGCTGCTGCTGCTGCTGCTGTACCTGCTGCTGCTGCTGCTGCTTGCTGCTGCTGCTGCTGCTGCTGCTCTTGTTGTGCTGCTGCTGCTGCTGCTGCTTGTTGTACTGCTGCTGCTGCTGCTGCTCTTGTACCTGCTGCTGCTGCTGCTGCTCTGCTGCTGCTGCTGCTGTGGCTGCTGCTCTGCTGCTCTGCTGCTGCTGCTGCTGCTGCTGCTGCTGCTGCTGCTTGTTTGTACCTGCTGCTGCTGCTGTTCTGTGCTGCTGCTGCTGCTGCTGCTTGTTGTACCTGCTGCTGCTGCTGTTGCTACTGCTGCTGCTGTTCTTGTTGTACCTGCTGCTGCTGCTCTTGTTGCTGTACTGCTGCTGCTGCTGCTGCTGCTTGTACCTGCTGCTGCTGCTGCTGTTGTACCTGCTGCTGCTGCTCTTGTACCTGCTGTGGGCTGCTGCTGCTGCTGCTGCTCTTGTGTACCTGCTGCTGTACCTGCTGCTGCTGCTCTTGTTGTACCTGCTGCTGCTGCTTGCTTGTACCTGCTGCTGCTGCTCTTGTTGCTGCTGCTGCTGCTTGTTGTACCTGCTGTACTGCTGCTGCTCTTGTACCTGCTGCTGCTGCTCTTGTTGCCTGCTGCTGCTGCTCTTGTACCTGCTGCTACTGCTGCTGCTGCTGCTGCTCTGTGTGCTGCTGCTGCTGCTGCTCTTGTGGCTGCTGCTGCTGCTGCTGCTCTTGTACCTGCTGTACTGTACCTGCTGCTGCTGCTCTTGTACCTGCTGCTGCTACCTGCTGCTGCTGCTGCTTGTACCTGCTGTACTGCTGCTGCTGCTGCTGCTGCTTTGTACCTGCTGCTGCTGTTGCTGCTTGCTCTGTACCAGCTGCTGCTGCTCTTGTTGCTGCTGCTGCTGCTCTTGTTGTACCTGCTGTACTGCTGCTGCTCTTGTTGTACCTGCTGCTGCTGCTGCTGCTGCTCTGTACCTGCTGCTGCTGCTGCTGCTGCTGCTCTTGTACCTGCTGTACTGCTGCTGCTGCTGCTGTTGCTGCTGCTGCTCTTGCTGCTGCTGCTCTTGTACTGCTGCTGCTCTTGTTGTACTGCTGCTGCTGCTCTTGTGTACTGCTGTTGTACCTGCTGCTGCTGCTGCTGTTGTACCTGCTGCTGCTCTTGTTGCTGCTGCTGCTGCTGCTGCTTGTTGTACCTGCTGCTGCTGCTGCTGCTGCTCTTGTACCTGCTGCTGCTGCTGCTGCTGCTGTGGCTGCTGCTGCTGCTGCTGCTGCTGCTGCTCTTGTTGTACTGCTGCTGCTGCTCTCTTGTACCTGCTGCTGCTCTTGCTGCTGCTGCTGCTGTTGTACTGCTGTTGTACCTGCTGCTCTTGCCTGCTGTGCTGTTGCTGCTGCTGCTGCTCTTGTTGTACCTGCTGCTGCTGTTGCTGCTGCTGCTCTTGTACCTGCTGCTGCTGTTCTTGTTGTACTGCTGCTGCTCTTGTACCTGCTGTTGTACCTGCTGCTGCTGCTCTTGTGCTGTTGTACCTGCTGCTGCTGCTCTTGTTGCTGCTGCTGCTGCTCTTGTACCTGCTGCTGCTGTTGTTGTACTGCTGCTGCTGCTCTTGTACCTGTACCTGCTGCTGCTGCTTCTGCTGTACCTGCTGCTGCTGTTCTTGTTGTACTGCTGCTGCTGCTGCTGCTGCTGCTCTTGTACCTGCTGCTGCTGTTGCTGTTGTACCTGCTGCTGCTGCTGCTGCTGTGCTGTACCTGCTGCTGCTGTTCTTGTTGTACCTGCTGCTGCTGCTCTTGTTGTACCTGCTGCTGCTGCTCTTGTTGTACCTGCTGCTGCTCTTGTTGTACCTGCTGCTGCTGCTCTTGTTGTACTGCTGCTGCTGCTCTTGTTGTACCTGCTGCTGCTGCTCTTGTTGTACCTGCTGCTGCTCTTGTTGTACCTGCTGCTGCTGTTCTTGTTGTACCTGCTGCTGCTGTTCTTGTTGTACCTGCTGCTGCTGCTCTTATTGTACCTGCTGCTGCTGCTGCTGCTCTTGTTGTACTCCCAAGTACTCCGAACACTCCACACCACCAGTACTCCGAACACTCCTCACCACCAGTACTCCGAACACTCCTCACCACCAGTACTCCGAACACTCCTCACCACCAGTACTCCGAACACTCCTCACCACCAGTACTCCGAACACTCCTCACCACCAGTACTCCGAACACTGCGCAACACAATAAATCATTCTTCACACGAACAATAACTGCGTGTATCGCCTCTCTGGTGTACAGGGTGGTCCAGAAGTGTTTAACCATATGACCCAAGTGTGGTCATACAGTGGGAAATACTTCTATGCAACCTTCATTGTGTGGCTGTGGGACCTGATCAACCAGGCTGTGACTCAAACGTCAGGCTGCGAGCAGTCGCGTCTAACAGCCTGGTTGATCAGTCCAGCAACCAGGAAGGTTGGTCGACGACCGGGCCGCGGGGACACTAAGCCCCGGAAGCACGTCAAGGTAACCTCCCCACTCCCTCGCCTGCTCTGACCGGGCTGTCAATGGTGTAGTCGAAACTGTTCTTCGTGTTCCCACTCAATAGTGGGAACACGACTATGTTCTTCCCTCCCTCTGCCAATGTTCAATGGTCTCTTGACTAGTCTTTTCAGCTTTTCATCTCCTCAATTAACAATCTGGCTCCCTCTATCTATTTCAAAGTTGAATGGTAATTTAATTTCCTCCTGCCTTTTGGTGAGGTTCACGTTCACAGCTCTGTGACTGGGGTTTTCTTTCTCTGTTTACCGCAAGGTTGTGTACAGTCGAGCACTTCCCTGGAAACACAAACCGAAACTGTCTCTATTTTCCGCTTGTTACAACTTGTAATAAAGTTAAACAAGTCCACATGGGCCGTGACGAGGATTCGAACCTGCGTCCGGGAGCATCCCAGACACTGCCTTAATCGACTGAGCTACGACAGGGTTAAAAGGGTTGTGTAGCCTTTTTCCTTGTCGTAGCTCAGTCGATTAAGGCAGTGTCTGGGATGGTCCCGGACGCAGGATCGAATCCTCGTCACGGCCCTTGTGGATTTGTTCATTTGATGCATCACGTTAGTGTGATCTCTGTGTGTGGTGTAATAAAGTTGTTACATCTTGGCTTAACGTGTTTATGGCGTATTAGAACGTTGTTACAACTTGCTATATTGGTTGTTATAACTGGTTAGGAGGTGTTATAACTTGTTCGAACGTTGTACCAACGTTGTAGTTCCGGTGTGTGTTTGGCGGGTTACTACTTTTCTAATCTTCCTCATACTGGTAAGAAAAGTGTTTTAGCCTCTCTTCCTCCACGCTCTATGAATCAGTGACCCTCAGTATCCTGATTCTCATATTTATTTTATTTTATAAGTCTTCCTTCGCCTTGGTTACCGCTTAAACTTTACACTCTCTCTACGTGTCAACTCTCAAGCCAAACGTTATTTTTGTCATCCCTAACCAGTTTCCAGCACCAGTACCAAAGTACTCTGTCTTCCCTTCACATATCTAAACTATAAAATCTTGCCTTATACCTTTCCTCCTCTTGACATAAAGCTCATCTTCCGACAAACTAACACTCTTCGTAGTAGTCTGGAGCCAGATTCACGAAAGTACTTACGCAAGCACTTACGAACCTGTACATCTTTTCTCAATCTTTGGCGGCTTTGTTTCCAATTATTAAACAGTTTACAAACATGAAAACTTGCCAATCAACTGTTGTTATTGTTATAAACAGCCTCCTGGTGCTTCGGAGCTCATTAACTGTTTAATAATTGGAAACAAAGCCGCCAAAGATTGAGAAAAGATGTACAGGTTCGTAAGTGTTTGCGTAAGTACTTTCGTGAATCTGGCTCCTAGTTCACACTGCTCCTCCTGCTTCTAATGGTGCTGGTGTCTACTCTATTTCATGTTCGTCTTGTCCTCTTTAATACTTCGGGGCAACTGGCCGAACATCTGGCTTAATGACAGTCTTAAGGAACACAAAAAGAAGTGCATTCTCAAGTCTCAATCGACTTGAGAATGGTCCAGGACGGACCGAAACGTCGTCGTCCCTTCAATTTCTAGTGTGTGGTCTGGTCAACATACTTCAGCCACGTTATTGTGACTCATCGCCTGCACAAAAAGAAGTGTTAAGTCTACAGACACAAGCACTGCTCTCTACTGTCATGTTAGGGACTCTAATCATCCTATTGATTGGTCGTCTTCTAAAATAATCTTTCGTGCCTCTACTCTACACGGAGTAGAGGCAGGGAAGAAGGGAAGGGAGCCAGTCGGCCGAGCGGACAGCACACTGGACTTGTGATCCTGTGGTCCCGGGTTCGATCCCGGGCGCCGGTGAGAATAAATGGGCAGTTTCTTTCACCCTACGCCACTGTTACCTAGCAGTAAAATAGGTACCTGGGTGTTAGTCAGCTGTCACGTGCCTCCACCCCTGCTTCCTGGGGGTGGAGGCCTGGTCGAGGACCGGGCCGCGGGGACACTAAAGCCCCGAAATCATCTCAAGATAACCTCAAGATACACAAACGCCGTCATGTCGACTGGGCTCTGATACACAATGTACCCAACATGAACTTGAGTCCTGACTTGTTGCTGTTGACTCTTCCCTTTCACAGTATGTACTCTGATGCCCCAACCTTCTTAACAAACGTGATCTGACTTTGGCCTCTTTTTCTTAAACTATTTTCCTTTTCTTACCTTTCCTTTTACCTTCCTCGTGTTCTTACCTCATTCTTATCTTTACTCCGTTCTTACCTTCATCCTCTTCTTCCCTTTCATCGTACTCTTACCCCTTTTCTCTTACCTGCCCCTCTCCTCTCACCTCATTCTCGTACCATATTTATTTGCCTTACTTTCCTCTCTTTAAACAAAAAAATTACGGGCTCACCATAGCCCGTGCTACTTGCAACATTTTGTTCCGACAATCAACTTGATAATGGTTCACGACGGACCGAACCGTCGTCGTCTCCTCATCTCGTGATGTGTGGTTTAGTCATTATATCTTCAGCCTCTTCATTGTGACTCATCGTCTGCATAAGTTTGACCACTCCAAAAGTCGTCTGGAAATTGGCTGCTAGAATTTAACCCAGCAAATGCAATGTTACGAATAATGAAACTAAAGTAACAAGGTCTATTCAATAGAGTTGGATAATGGGAAGAGTAATTCTTGCATGAGAGAAGGAGAAAGACCTGGGAGTAGACATGACTAACAGTGTAATGACACAACATGTTAACACAATAATGTCTGCATCATCTGACATGCTGGTAACCAGCTCCCCATCCTTCGGAAATTTGGAGGATTGAATCTTGAGGCACACACACACACACACACACACACACACATACACACACACACACACACATACACATACACACACACACACACACACACACACACACACACACACACACACACACACCTGGGACCAAAGAGGCGGGACCAAAGAGCCAGAGCTCAACCCCCGCAAACACAACTAGGTGAGTACACATACACACACACACACACACACACACACACACACACACACACACACACACACACACACACACACACACACATCACTTGTGCAGTGGGAGCAACAAAGATGTGCGTGTAGAGGAGCAGGAAGTGTTGTCAGCACACCCCCAGACACCTCTCACCCTCGCTACACCTTCCCCAGGGTGTTGACACTCACTCAAGCGGCCCACTCTCCCTGGAGGGCAGGTGGTCGCAGGCGGCCCACTCTCCCTGGAGGGCAGGCGGCCACTCTCCCTGGAGGGCAGGCGGCCCACTCTCCCTGGAGGGCAGGCGGCCACTCTCCCTGGAGGGCAGGTGGTCGCAGGCGGCCCACTCTCCCTGGAGGGCAGGCGGCCCACTCTCCCTGGAGGGCAGGTGGTCGCAGGCGGCCACTCTCCCTGGAGGGCAGGCGGCCACTCTCCCTGGAGGGCAGGTGGTCGCAGGCGGCCCACTCTCCCTGGAGGGCAGGTGGTCGCAGGCGGCCCACTCTCCCTGGAGGGCAGGCGGCCACTCTCCCTGGAGGGCAGGTGGTCGCAGGCGGCCCACTCTCCCTGGAGGGCAGGTGGTCGCAGGCGGCCCACTCTCCCTGGAGGGCAGGTGGTCGCAGGCGGCCCACTCTCCCTGGAGGGCAGGTGGTCGCAGGCGGCCCACTCTCCCTGGAGGGCAGGTGGTCGCAGGTGGCCCACTCTCCCTGGAGGGCAGGTGGTCGCAGGCGGCCCACTCTCCCTGGAGGGCAGGCGGCCACTCTCCCTGGAGGGCAGGTGGTCGCAGGCGGCCACTCTCCCTGGAGGGCAGGTGGTCGCAGGCGGCCACTCTCCCTGGAGGGCAGGCGGCCCACTCTCCCTGGAGGGCAGCTGGTCGCAGGCGGCCCACTCTCCCTGGAGGGCAGGCGGCCCACTCTCCCTGGAGGGCAGGTGGTCGCAGGCGGCCACTCTCCCTGGAGGGCAGGCGGCCACTCTCCCTGGAGGGCAGGTGGTCGCAGGCGGCCCACTCTCCCTGGAGGGCAGGTGGTCGCAGGCGGCCCACTCTCCCTGGAGGGCAGGCGGCCACTCTCCCTGGAGGGCAGGTGGTCGCAGGCGGCCCACTCTCCCTGGAGGGCAGGTGGTCGCAGGCGGCCCACTCTCCCTGGAGGGCAGGTGGTCGCAGGCGGCCCACTCTCCCTGGAGGGCAGGTGGTCGCAGGCGGCCCACTCTCCCTGGAGGGCAGGTGGTCGCAGGCGGCCCACTCTCCCTGGAGGGCAGGCGGCCACTCTCCCTGGAGGGCAGGTGGTCGCAGGCGGCCACTCTCCCTGGAGGGCAGGTGGTCGCAGGCGGCCACTCTCCCTGGAGGGCAGGCGGCCCACTCTCCCTGGAGGGCAGCTGGTCGCAGGCGGCGGGGAGAGAGAGAGAGGGAGAGAAGGAAGGGAGGGAAATAGGGGAAGGGGGAAAAGCTGAAAGAGAAAGAGAATGAAAATAAAAAAAAGTGTCAGGAAAGTTAGAAATAGAAAAAGAGATGAAAAAGAGGAGAGTGGAAGGGGAAATAGGAGAAAAGGGTGGAAAGGATTGGAAAGGAGGCGATTGGGAAAGGGGATTGGGAAGGAGAGGATTGGGAACGAGAGGATTGTGAAGGAGAGGATTGGGAAGGATGGGAGTGGGAAGGGGATGATTGGGAAGGAGGGGAGTGACAAGAGGATTGGGAAGAATGCGATTGGGAAGGAGGGGATTGGGAAGGATGTGATTGGGAAGGAGGGGATTGTGAAGTATGGGATTGGGAAGGAGGGGATTGTGAAGTATGGGATTGGGAAGGAGGGGATTGTGAAGTATGGGATTGGGAAGGAGGGGATTGTGAAGTATGGGATTGGGAAGGATGCGATTGGGAAGGAGGGGATTGGGAAGGATGTGATTGGGAAGGAGGGGATTGTGAAGTATGGGATTGGGAAGGAGGGGATTGTGAAGTATGGGATTGGGAAGGAGGGGATTGTGAAGTATGGGATTGGGAAGGATGCGATTGGGAAGGAGGGGATTGGGAAGGATGCGATTGGGAAGGAGGGGATTGGGAAGGATGTGATTGGGAAGGAGGGGATTGTGAAGTATGGGATTGGGAAGGAGGGGATTGTGAAGTATGGGATTGGGAAGGAGGGGATTGTGGAGTATGGGATTGGGAAGGAGGGGATTGGGAAGGAGGGGATTGGGAAGGAGGGGATTGTGAAGTATGGGATTGGGAAGGAGGGGATTGTGAAGTATGGGATTGGGAAGGAGGGGATTGTGAAGTATGGGATTGGGAAGGAGGGGATTGTGGAGTATGGGATTGGGAAGGAGGGGATTGTGAAGTATGGGATTGGGAAGGAGGGGATTGTGAAGTATGGGATTGGAAGGATGCGATTGGGAAGGAGGGGATTGGGAAGGATGTGATTGGGAAGGAGGGATTGTGAAGTATGGGATTGGGAAGGAGGGGATTGTGAAGTATGGGATTGGGAAGGATGGGATTGTGAAGTATGGGATTGGGAAGGAAGGGATTGTGAAGTATGGGATTGGGAAGGATGCGATTGGGAAGGAGAGGATTGGGAAGGATGCGATTGGGAAGGATGGGATTGGGAAGGATGGGAAGGAGGGGATTGTGAAGTATGGGATTGGGAAGGAGGGGATTGTGAAGTATGGGATTGGGAAGGAGGGGATTGTGAAGTATGGGATTGGGAAGGAGGGGATTGTGGAGTATGGGATTGGGAAGGAGGGGATTGGGAAGATGGGATTTGGGAAGGAGGGGATTGTGAAGAGTATTGTGAAGTGGGATTGGGAAGGAGGGGATTGTGAAGTATGGGATTGGGAAGGAGGGGATTGTGAAGTATGGGATTGGGAAGGATGCGATTGGGAAGGAGGGGATTGGGAAGGATGTGATTGGGAAGGAGGGGATTGTGAAGTATGGGATTGGGAAGGAGGGGATTGTGAAGTATGGGATTGGGAAGGAGGGGATTGTGAAGTATGGGATTGGGAAGGAGGGGATTGTGAAGTATGGGATTGGGAAGGATGCGATTGGGAAGGAGGGGATTGGGAAGGATGCGATTGGGAAGGATGGGATTGGGAAGGATGTGATTGGGAAGGAGGGGATTGTGAAGTATGGGATTGGGAAGGAGGGGATTGTGAAGTATGGGATTGGGAAGGAGGGGATTGTGGAGTATGGGATTGGGAAGGAGGGGATTGTGAAGTATGGGATTGGGAAGGAGGGGATTGTGGAGTATGGGATTGGGAAGGAGGGGATTGGGAAGGATGTGATTGAGAAGGAGGGGATTGTGAAGTATGGGATTGGGAAGGAGGGGATTGTGAAGTATGGGATTGGGAAGGAGGGGATTGTGGAGTATGGGGGAAGGAGGGGATTGGGAAGGAGGGGATTGGGAAGGAGGGGATTGGGAAGGAGGGGATTGGGAAGGAGGGGATGTGAAGTATGGGATTGGGAAGGAGGGGATTGTGAAGTATGGGATTGGGAAGGAGGGGATTGTGAAGTATGGGATTGGGAAGGAGGGGATTGTGGAGTATGGGATTGGGAAGGAGGGGATTGTGAAGTATGGGATTGGGAAGGAGGGGATTGTGAAGTATGGGATTGGGAAGGATGCGATTGGGAAGGAGGGGATTGGGAAGGATGTGATTGGGAAGGAGGGGATTGTGAAGTATGGGATTGGGAAGGAGGGGATTGTGAAGTATGGGATTGGGAAGGAGGGGATTGTGAAGTATGGGATTGGGAAGGAAGGGATTGTGAAGTATGGGATTGGGAAGGATGCGATTGGGAAGGAGAGGATTGGGAAGGATGCGATTGGGAAGGATGGGATTGGGAAGGATGTGATTGGGAAGGAGGGGATTGTGAAGTATGGGATTGGGAAGGAGGGGATTGTGAAGTATGGGATTGGGAAGGAGGGGATTGTGGAGTATGGGATTGGGAAGGAGGGGATTGTGAAGTATGGGATTGGGAAGGAGGGGATTGTGGAGTATGGGATTGGGAAGGAGGGGATTGGGAAGGATGTGATTGGGAAGGAGGGGATTGTGAAGTATGGGATTGGGAAGGAGGGGATTGTGAAGTATGGGATTGGGAAGGAGGGGATTGTGGAGTATGGGATTGGGAAGGAGGGGATTGTGAAGTATGGGATTGGGAAGGAAGGGATTGTGGAGTATGGGATTGGGAAGGAGGGGATTGTGGAGTATGGGATTGGGAAGGAGGGGATTGGGAAGGATGTGATTGGGAAGGAGGGGATTGTGGAGTATGGGATTGGGAAGGAGGGGATTGGGAAGGATGTGATTGGGAAGGAGGGGATTGT